ATCAACACTTACATTTTGTACTTTATTATCGCTTCTTCCGCTTTTGAGGCCTAGCATACGATTCAATTCATCTTCCATTTGCTGCTTCTGGAATGTCCGTTTGCACTCAAAGGCAGCGTCCGAGCAAAAAGTCGATTTTGAGTTTCTGTGCTTATCCGGGATATTCGCTATGCTAATCCGAAAACCCACAGTGGAGAGCGCGAAAAGGCGAAAAACGGCCCTAGCAGAAGGGAAGCAGCAGGTGGGCTTGGCCTTCCCCACTGTTAACTAACACTCCCAGCCTTCGGAGCGAACCTCTCGATCCGCTTGCTGTTCAAACATCGCCACGGCCAAGTGTGAACGCCTTTGAAATCAGAACCGAAAAGATTGTCCACAAGCTAGGGGAGTGAGTTCACAGTGGGGAAAACCCCGCCCATGCCTGTTGATTTTCGCTTGCGTTGGAGCCTTTTTTCGCTATTTTCACACTCTCTAGTGTGGATTTTCGGGATCACCATAGCGAATAGGCTCGGGTAAGCACAAAATCTCGAAATCACTCCCTGCCCGACTTTAAGAATCATAACAGCGCAAAAGTGCAAGCCTAGTCGCCCATTATGGCGCCACTTTTGCCTTCAACTTACTGAAACAGTGGACGTATTAGGTTGGCTGTAGTCATTTGTAGAAGATGGCGGAGGGGTGCTCACTGAATCTTTTCCAGGTGACTGGATGGACTCAGCGGCAGTTCCAGATAGAGTGGAAATGGAATATTCTGTAAAAACGGGATGATGATAAAAATCTTGTTTCATGCGCGGTATATTGATTTTTCATGTGGTTAGAAATCAACATCATATGTTGATTAGAAATAATCTCATGAGTAATACGGTAACGCTAGTTATAAATCTTTTGGAGAGCGAGACCGACAATCAATTCATGCTGAATGCTGTACCCCTTATCCTCTCTGAATCACAGTTACAACGACAAAAGAAGATAATTTGATATCAACTTATTCGAATGAGTTCATTCCATTTTTGGTCGAAAAGAATCAGGCTGTGGAGGGGCTAAGATCACACGAGCATATCAAGACTCACCTGCTAGACCTTGTGCTTTAATAGGATTTTTTGTGATCATGGTGGTAGGAGATTTAGCAGACGAACTATCGTTGGCTTTCGCCGCATTTTCTCGCAAAAGCATCATCATCTAAAATCACTGAACCGTAGCAGAGAAAAGCAAACAACACGTTAACTACCTTCCTTAAAAGCTCTTGATGCGTCTCATTTTCAATGGCCACAGGCTTAGTAGGCATGCTGATGCCACGCCTGCTCTCATTCGTGGTGGCTGGTGAAGAAGCATTTACATTTCCAGATGGCTGACTTGAACTAGCAGCAGTGCCAGATGGAGTGGAAGTGGGAGTTTCTGTAATATGCTCGCATACAAAAGAGCTGCTTGTTGTACCTTCACATGGAAGTCAATGAAAGTGGTCAAAAGGTATACAGCTAAAACTTAAAGACAGTGTCCGGGCAAAAACTCGATTTTAAGATT